GCAAAACTGCTAATACCTCAAGAAAAGGTTTTACATGGCAGTTAAAAGTTCAAAGTATAAAACCTAACAATTATATTCAGAGACCCACACTTAGAAAAGGTCTACACAGAGTGAAATGCTAACGGTTTGCATAGAGCAAAAAAGATATCCTTCGTATTTCTTGCACAAAATGATGAGTGCTTCATCCTCGATATACATGGTCACAAAACGAAAAAAATATGGTTGTCATATTTAAGGTTCTAGCAATATCTACATATGGATTTTGCTGTAAGAATAAAATTATCTTTAATATTAAATAAAGCTTCATGTTAGAAAATTAATGCTTAGGGATTGCTTTATTACTGATGCAGAATATAATTCATTTCATAATGTACAGTGTTTTTTCTTAGACAATGGTTTTTGGTAGAAAAATCAGTATAAATATGCACAAAATGCACATTCCTGACTTATTTTTAAATTCAATTTGATTACATACATACATACATACATACTTATTTTAAACTTTCTTCCACAGGAGGAAAATCATATATACTCAATACAAAATACTGCAGAAGGCAATAAAATCCTTCCAATGGAAAGATATTGGAAGGAAAGTTTCTAACTTGAGAAAGTAGCCATCATAACACTAAAAAAATGATGTGTGAAAATGAATGTACAATTTTAGGAGCAAAACAGAAAAATAACATAGCTCCTTATAGAACAGTCTACTTTAATTATGGTAAACTATACATGTAAAATGAAAGAGCAACATGCCCTGTTGAACAGAGCTGAAAAGCTTGCAAAAAATTTCATCTGATACCATTTTGGTTTTTAATCTTTAGTTAGGCCCAAGACCAGAAAGGGGGAAAAAATACCTATCTCAACAGTGACCTCTAGTGGACAAGTGTTAAAATGGCTGTTTCAAAAAATCTTGTCTAAGACTGAAAAGGAGTAGGAAAACACTTACAAAACTAACACTTGCAAACAGTGTAAGAAGCAAGGATAAGATTAAAGAGTAGACTAAAAGACTTAGCTAACACTGGCTTACAAGAGAGGGTAATCACAAAGGCAGCAGGTGGAGGAGCAGGGCAGAGACTGAGGAAAACAGACTGGAATAACTGCTGTTTCCTTCTTTGGAAGCCCAAAGCCAGCCCTTATAGGTATCATCTCGGTCTGCCGGGACTTGGCACAACTCATCAGCTACCAATCCAATGCTCCATCAGCATTAACTGAGTACCTATTTCATGTTCACCATGCTTTGGGCACTTTTGTCATGGGTAGGATACATAGCATCCGACAGGGCTCCTCACCTCAAGAAACATCTAAAATAGTTAATTATATGAAGAAATTAGCAACTAACTTGGGACCTTAAATGCAGAATATTAAACTAACTTTAAGTGAAAGAGTAATGGGCCTAGAAGACGTGAGACCAAAGGTGGTGAAAGGAGGCCCACGAGGTCGCTGGGGGGAAGAACCATGAGCGGCTCAGCACGGTGCCAGCCTGCCCTCCGTGTGGATCCTCGGATGTCTGTGAGGAGTGCCAGCCCACACACCATTCCTCAAGTCTGAAAGGGCCCTAATAACTACAAAGATGATATGACACCAATTTCCAGGACATAAGGTAAAGTTTCTTTACAGCTCTCACAGTCCAGCACGTTTGAAATGGGCCCACGAGTTAGAAACAGAAGTTTGTGGTGACCACACCTATTCAAGCCCCTATACTGGGAAAGCCTGAAAAAACTGTCCAGTTCCTACACTGACCATTCACCTCAGGCCAGCTTTCCTCCCCGTCACGGACTGCTTCCTTCCATCAGCTGGTCTATACAGGTAATTACTGGGAGGCCACTGTGTGTTCAGCAAGAACAGGACATGAAAGAAGACTAGGACACAGTCCTGCTTTCAATAAAGCCTAAGATCTGTTTGGAGAGAGAGAAGAAAGATGAAACACGCGGACAAGGATGTGCGACACTGGTGTAAAGAATCTATGAACAGCCCTGACCGGTTTGGCTCAGTGGATAGAGCGTCGGCCTGCGGACTGAAGGGTCTCAGGTTCGATTCCGGTCGGGGGCATGTGCCTTGGTTGCGGGCACATCCCCGGTGGGGGTGTGCAGGAGGCAGCTGATCGATGTTTCCCATCTATGTTTCTAGCTCTCTGTCCCTCTCCCTTTCTCTCTGTAAAAAATTAATAAAAAAAAGTATGTTTAAAAAAAAAAGAATCTATGAACAGTAGGAGTTTGGGGAAGAAAGATTTCAAGTTGGCCAGGGTAGTCGGGGAGCCTGGGGGGAGGGTGGGGACAAGGCCACTGCAGAACAGAGAGGAAGGGACAAGGTAGCCTAGAACAGAGCAGGGCTAGGCACCTAAGGGGGAGAGGAATCTTCCTGTGGCAGCACATGGTGAGGAAAGGCTGGTTGTAGGATGGGGGCCAGAGCAGAACTGGTTTGGAAAGGCAAACAGCGCCTTCTACAGGATATGTGTGGTATCACAGGGAAAGTGGAGTTTCTGAAGGGTTGGTCTGGTGGTGAACCTCATCTTTACTCTGAAACCATTCCCATTGGGCCAGAAGGGAAACTCTCTGTTGGGTTCCGAGATTGTACCTGTCCAGTCATAGCAGAAGGAAATGGTCCAGTGGCTACTCTGCCTCCTACCTCCTGGACATGCATGCATCTAGGAAAGTGGTTGCAGGCAGGGCCATTTGCCACTGACTTCCCAGTTTCCAAAACTCATCAACATTGCCCCAGTGCCCAGGTTTAAATTTCAGTAATGTCACTGTACTAATGATGAACCTCTATCAGTGATTACCTTGACAATTTTGAAATATTTCTATGAACTGTAATTTAGAAAGCATCAAGGATTTATGCTCACAAAATCTTGAGGAATTTAAGGACCATCAGCCCACTTTCACCTTCCTCATGGCCTCACTTGTACTGTTGAGTGTACCTGTCAATATCAAAACTAGCAGCAGGGAAAGTTAACACAACATCACAGTGTCCCCACAGATACTGACTCAAATGCGTGGAGTCAATGGGTGTCCCAGATCAGGGCCCCAGTTTGAGTAAGCCAGTCATTCATCCCATAAGTCCACAGCAGGGATTTTAGAGACCAGTGGAACTGGCATGCTAAGAGAAAAACACAAACACTTTTGCAAGATAAAAGCAGTACTGAGGCAGCCCCTATTAAAAACCACAGAAAGTGAAAGACACTGATTACAATAAAACATGACAGGAGGATGTGCTCAGTCACTTACACATAATGCATATTTATATTGCCATCAAATGGACATATTTACTATAAACACTTGAAAAGCCATTGTAAAGTCATTCATTTAAATGCCAGAAAAACAGTAAAAGATGCTAATTTGACCTTAGTGGAACAGACCGGGTGTCACTGACACTACTCACAATGGCATGAAACAGAATTTACCAAGATGATTAATTAGAGTTTACTGGATAAGTGTGTCTCAAACGAGGAAAGAAGAAGAAGAAAAAAAACAGGAAGGAAGAAATATGAAGTTTGGATCCATTCACAGTCAACCTTTTCACAGACACAATTTAAGTCCATATTTGTGCGTCTCTAGGTTAATCTCTTATCATATGCCTGGAGCAAGAAACTGATCTATGGATACCTGAGATTTCTATCTCTGTGGAAGTATAAAAAGAAATGTTACAACCATCTGAAAGATATTTTAAAGAACAGATCAATTAATTAAATAATATGATTAAAGCAAGTTTTGCTTTCTTGTTTAAATGTAAAGTGTTTCACTCTAATAATGATGCATAATATAAGCTTGGCAATTAAGAAATATTTTTATAAACTACTGAGTATAGAGCTTCAGGAATTCTGCTCACAAAATCTTGGGGAAATCAGGAATCATGCTGTCCACCCTTCTAAACAAACAGCAAAACCCTCTGACTGGGATTAGATTCTCAGTGGACAACAGGACCATTTGCTACAAAAACAATAAAAACAGCTGCATGTCACCTGTTACAAAAATGACCACAAGTGACTGTCGCCCTCACTTTCAGCTTCTGTGGTCCCTACTACTAAAATGTGACAATTGTGCCTCTCTGCCTTTGCCTTACAAATATGCACCTTTTGCTAAAAATGAACTAATCTGCCTGTCTCCTGCACATGAGGGGCCCTGCCACTCCTAATTCTCAATAATCAACAGCTCTGTGACATTGCTTCAAGCTGTACACAATGCACATAAATTCAGGGCACAAATCCCTCAGGATGACATTCGGCTCAATTTCATTGGACTCAGAAAGCTCCCAAACAAATTCTTGCCACATGATTAGAAAATCACTCAAGGCTGCAGGAAATATGGCAAACACAAAGAAGTGACAGTCAATTAGGAATGAGAAAGGAGAGTGGGGCCCTGTCATTAAAAAATCTTTAAAGCCACAGCTAAGAATAAAATGGCCCATATCATTCATGCAAGATATTCTTATAAGAGCTGGTATTAAACCTACTATTTGTTAACCATACCATGACTCTACTAATGTCCAATAGAAACCAGACTCAATAATTTTTTAAAATGCAGATTCAAATATATGTATATATATGGTTTATACAACTCTTTGGTTTCTCCCCTGCTCCCCTCATTAAGCAGGGAAGGAAAGTACATCAACAGATAATTTTTTCCCCTTTGAAGAGGAAGTATAGATGAAAGCAAAAACTCTTATTCTAATTATTTTTTTACACTTTTTTTTCATAAAATACTAATGAATGGCCCAGCAGTTCAGGTCACTGCAGCATTTATCATCCCTAAATGGGACGAATTCCACAGAAACAAAATGTCACTTTCTTTCTTCAGCTTACACACTCAATAAGAAAGAGTCTTCAAAATAGAGCAATGCACAAAATATGGGAAGACAATATGCTCAAGTATCTTAGTGTCACCAAAATAAACTTTAGGATTCCCCAAATAAACGTGTGTCTTTAAAGGAAACAAGAGAGTCAGCAGTATCACCACATTACCGACAAGGCAGACACTGTGAAACAAATGAGAAAGTGAACTCACTTGTTAGCTTGTTGTGGCTGAGGACCAGTTGTGTGATGTGGGATAAGGAGACTGTAAAAGAAAAAAAAAAATCACACAATTAGTTAACGTACCCAAATTATAGTTACACTCCTACAATGTAAAGTGCTAAATTATTTTCACAGGTTGAAGTGTTACCTCTCACAAAAATAGACTCAAGAATTCATATAACACTGTCGGTAAATGTTAAACCAAATTAAGAAAAGTCATGCAATTAGCAGTGCAATCAGCACAGCAAGTTGGAGCTAATAAGATTAATGAGCAGGATCAGACATTCTAAGGGCCAGTCAGCTTTGCTTGCAGAGCTGGTTTTTGCTGGCCCAGCCTCAGTGATCCATCTCAGTAACTGTGCCAGTCAGAGAACCGGCCAAGAGTGTGGAAGGCACAAAGCGCTCATCCAAGCTAACAAACCATCACACCAAGACAAAAAGATCACACCACAGACTCATCCAATCCAAACTGTCAATGGTGTTGCTGTTGGAAATCATGATTTACTTACTTATCCTTGTATGGCTTTGATCTATCTTAGTCAATGAGTTATAATCTAAAATTACTATGGCCCTGGCCAGTTTGACTCAGTGGATAGAGCGTCAGCCTGTGGACTGAGGGGTCCCAGGTTCGATTCTGGTCAAGGGCATTTAACTTGGTTGTGGGCATATCCCCAGTAGCGGGTGTGCAGGAGGCAGCTGATTGATGTTTCTCTCTCATCAATGTTTCTCTCTATCCCTCTCCCTTCCTCTCTGTAAAAAAATCAATAAAATATATTTTAAAAAAATAAAAATAAAATTACTATGTATGTTGATGTTCAAACTGTCCCAGTTGGACAGTGTGTGCCCATCTAACCTGGTTGCTAAGCTCCTTTGGCAAGTCCCATCACTCTGAGCACGTCCTTGCTTTCTGCACAAGGTATTCAAGCTCTTCTGATACTTTTCTGCCACAGCCCTGGAATCAGCCATTTCTAAAATGAGCTCTGGTTCCTTTTTGTGGAAAATGTATATATAAGCCAAAATCTGGGCACTAGATGTGCTCATTGCCATCTAGGGCAGTGGTTCTCAACCTTCTGGCCCTTTAAATACAGTTCCTCATGTTGTGACCCAACCATAAAATTATTTTCATTGCTTCTTCATAACTGTAATGTTGCTACTGTTATGAACTGTAATGTAAATATCTGATATGCACGATGGTCTTAGGCGACCCCTGTGAAAGGGTCGTTCAACTGCTAAAGGGGTCGCGACCCACAGGTTGAGAACCACTGATCTAGGGGCTCAATATTCTCAGCCCCTATCAGTGGAGAGAGGTAAAGAACACATGAACACACACACACACACACACACAACTGTGTTCACTTCACTATTTATATTATTGAATTCATACCAACAAATCTGATTTCAATACGCAGTTCATTCAAGTTTTCTTCCTTCCCATGTTTGTAATCCCCTTCTCTAATAGTGAGACCTCTGACTTCCATTACCTTTAACCTACTCACTTACTTCATGATACCTCTATACATAACTGCATAGAGTTATCTTATAGCTTATGCTTATCTGCAGGGAAACCTGGGAGTCTGGTAGATTCTTGGTCACAAGCAGGACAAGTAGGTTGGCTAGAGATGTTTAATGTTTCATTTAAAGTTGAAACTGCCCCAGAAGTCCCCAGAGCCAGCTAATACAAGTCGAGGGACATGCAGATTGATGGCTTACACCTGGCTACAGGTACATGACCAGTCGGGCATAAAAGACACTGCTGGACATTTTTGGCTGGGCTTCCCTGAAACCCTGGTTCTCCCACATGTCTTGATGGTTCATATCTGGAGACAAAATATGTTCTGAGCAGCTAAAAAAACCATCCTAGGGAATCACCAGTGAGCCTCCTGGTCCCCAGAGGCTCACCATATTTTCTTACTCCTGATAAACCATGTATGTTGTGGATTCTTCTGAGTACTTTCAGCCATCCAATGTAATAATGCAGCAACAGATCTCCCCCCACCTCCTCCTTCCACCATCACACTCTGTCAGACTCACCCTCCTCATCTGCCCTCACCCTCCTCGCCCTGCCTGGCTTCGAACCTCCCAAGCCAGGTTTGCCACCCCGCACAGATGCCCCCCTCATCCCACTCAGGTTTCCACACATGCCTTAGGCCATCACGCCCCCAAATCTGAACACCTTTCTTTTTCTGTCCCACTTACTGGCTTTCGGACTGAACGACTACAGAAGGGGGAAGAAAAAGGCAAAGAGGAAGGAGAAGAGCATGTTTGTGATCTGTAAGAGTCACATAACATCTAAGATTTTAGACACTGCAGAACATCTCATACATTTTTTGCTTATAAAAGTTAAGATTTTCTTGCCCACCAAACAAAGCATTCCTTTATCTCTATGTTATATAGTCTGATAAAAAAATCAAAGAGCTGCCCTCCTACCAAACAAGATGAAATGGATTCACAGATAGATCAGTTGAGACTACGATCAACCTCATGTGAGAACAAACTACAAATAACAAAGGTTACACATAACAGCAGTTTCTCTCTTTTTTATACACAGGCAATCCAGAGGTTCCTGGTATCTTGTTGATCAACCATCCCCAATGCATGGATCACATCTCATGGTCTATAATGGCTACATGAGCTTAGCCATCATATCTGCATTCCCTTCAGAAAGACAGAAAGGAAAAAAAAATGCCTTCCCCCTTTAGAAAACTTCCAAGAAGTTACACATGCACTTCTACTTATAAGCAATTAATCAAAATTTTGTAATGCAGTCAGGCCTAGCTGCAAGGGAGGCAGGGAAATGCAGTCTGTATTCTAGGTGACCATGTGCCAGCTAAAATTAGGGGTTTTATTATCAAGAAAGATGGGGCAAACTGAAACTAGCAGACAACTAACAACCTCTGCCACTAGCAAACTACTCCAATTAAGTGTCACAGAAATCAACTGTGATTATAAAGAAAACTAATAATCCTATCTCCTCCTGCCTTTATTTTTCCTAAATTATCACAACTAATTAAAAACAAAGAAATTTTGCTTTCCTCCCAACTAACATTTACAATGAAAGATTTAAGTAGTGAAAGCTGGTTCTCTTCAATCATTTCAGTGTGTCATTTCAACAAGCATTTAGCAAGAATAAAGTGGTGAAATGTGTAAGTTTCTTGTTTTTAATAGAGAACAGAAATCCAGTTGTTGCTTCAGCTGATCACATTACTAGAATGTACTTTTTTTTTTCTTTTCTTACTATTGTTACAGGGCTACATGCTAAAGTAGGTAAGAGGGAGGAAAATTAGAGCAGAAAAGAAAAAGTTAATGAAAGACCTTAGAGGAAATATTTAGGACAACAAAGGACCCTGGGCTGGGCCTCTGGGGAGAGCAGTAAGATTGGACAGAATCAATCACAAAGCCTGGTACAGGCAAAGACCGAGTAGAGACAGGAATATTCATAAAAGCCACGGCTCCCTCCCACTTGGCAATGTCGAGTTCATTGTGAGTCTCCTATGGAAACTGCACTGTTAAAAAAGAAGGGAGGAGCATTTTCTCAGTCCTTTGAGATTTTGCTTCCTGGCAATTGTCATCACTTCGGCTCCAATCAACTCATAAAAATTCTTTAAAAAGGGGAAGGAGGGGAGAAAAGGTCTAGCAAGATAGAATGGCTTATTTAAAAGTACAAAAGCCACTCTAGTCAAACAAGGTGGGGAAACGGGAGCAGGCTGTACCCTGACCTGGATCACACACTGGGAGACCTTCCACTGTATGAGTAACACACTTCAATGGTCCTGCTAAGCCATTAGCTGTCAAGAATGGGCACTGCCAGAACAGTGAGGACTGTTATTGAAATTCCTACAACAATAGTAAACTATGCTTTGCCCAGCCATTTTTCAAAGACGAGTATATTTCAAAAGTCAACCAAATAACTAAGAAGTACTATGGTTGAAAGCAGAATATTTTCAAAAGTCAACTAAATAACTAAGAATTGTGTTGACATACACAGTTAAGTGTTAGCATGCCTTGACTGTCATTCTATCTCTAGCCTTTAGAAATGGGACTTGAGTGAACACTATTTCAGGCCAAAATGAATAGTGGGAAACAAAACCATTGGGAGGGAGGTGTTTGTGAGGGAAATGTGGTGGGGTGAGGTTGCTGGCACTGTATATATGATTTATAATCATTTGTGTCTAGCCAAAAGGGGAATCAGCAGGAAAATGCTCCAAGAGGACCTGGCTGCTACAGAAATTTCACAAGAGAGACAGTCAAGGACTCGCTGACTGGGTACTTACTGAGCACACTGAGTGTCGAGGTGTCGCTATCTTGGAGATCCTTGTAGAAGTAATGTTGACCATACATCCTCGTTAGCCTGGGACAGTCTGAGATTATGTCTGCTGTTCCTCTCAGAACTGTACTGGTTTGGATGACAAATTACTTAGTCACTCAATTTAGTGAACATGCCCAAAATCTTAAAATGCAAGGTAAACCCTACAATGTGAGGTATAAAAGGATTACTGAGGAAAGAAATATATCTGCAGGGATAATGGCAGTTGAGAAGGAAATATTACTTATTGTGGGGTGAATGACACATCCAAAAGGCCATAGGGCAGAGGTGCACCAGGCCCTGAAGCTGGACATGGAAGACATATGGCAACTGGAGGTTATGGAAGCAATCCAGCTTCCATATCTGAGATGGAAAACAGGGAAGGTACAGGACAGGAGGGAGCAGCCAATATCTTAATGAAATAAACTCAGAAAAATCAAAGGACTAACTAAACACTACTAGAAAAAGAATTGCCTTTTCTAGATAACACAATGGAAGCAGATATTATGTAAAATAGGTTCAGTTTTTTTCCTTCTTCTGCAGCACAAAGTAGGCAGCATGAGATGAGAAAAATAAGCATGATAAAATCCACAGCCCCCTAAGATGAAATTATCGACTTACTTTCAAAATAACCCAACATATCACAAAGATGTGGCACACTGGAAATTGTCTCTAGTTTCATTTTGGTAAATTAGAAAGCAAATTATCCCTTTGGTAGCACTTTAGAGAAGGTAGAAAGT